ACTCTGAAAATATGAAAGGCGTGAACATAGGCCTAAGGGAGTGGCGTTCGGCCACTCCCACGCGAACGATTCGTGCCTGAAGTTATTTAAGAACCTCCCACAATTGAAAATTAACTCAACTCAACAAAAAAATAAGTCAGCAAATTCATAAGTCTGATACTGTAGAATAAGAAAACTATGAACGATTTAATTTGATTGATTTTTTCACTGAATGGTAAGGATTATTCCATTCATTATTCAAACTGATTTCGCCAGCAAAATTAAGTTATCAAGCTATGATTGCAAGATAATATGATTGTTGGAAGAAATTCTTTTAATTTCACCCAAAAAATAGCATCAAATCATTTGATACTTCCAAAAGAAAAGTCATTGTGATTGAATCTCCGACAAAAGATTAACTAAGTAAAGTTAAATTTTTAAATATAAGTATGAGTACAGTAATCAAATAATAATAAAAAATCGATTTCAATATAATGAGTTATGTTGTATCGTGAGATAATAAGAGTCATTATTTTTATGATTATAATGAGTAGATGAAACAAGGCGGAAAACCAAAAAAAGTGAAATGTACAATTGGCAGATCATGCAGTGGACAGCCACTCGAGCTAATAATAATAAAAAATCTCGATTGATTCTACGCGTCTAATAATTAACATCAACTCTTAAAATTAGCACTTACGAAAACACATATTAAATACGTAACACCAATTGTTAACATCAAATAAAACGAGTAACAGAATTGGCTCATTCGAACTTAAAGCTCTAATAGCGTTGAACAGGTACTTACCGCAAGAAGAGATTGAGTAAAGTAGCCGAACCGTGACCAGCTACGTGTCCGAAGTCAGAGAGTGAAGTGAGACGCGTTTTGCCTCCAGCAGCCCGCAGCCACTCAGCAGGGAGCATGCGCGTTTCTTCAGAACCGCCCCTATTCGTTTAGGATTTATTTTATTATATTTCACGACTAATAAATTAATAATCCTCTTTCCGTTTGCCCAAATACATTAACTCACCTAATTAAAAAAAAAAACTCTATGGTTTGCCTTTATTTTGTTGTCAGGAATTTAGCTCTTATTGGAACTTGCCGTAAGGTTGAATATTTAAGTAGTGGTTACTGTTTGAGTAGATATTTGCTCGACATTCGACTCTTGTGTTAGATTAATAACTCATGTGTTAGATGATATTTTGAACTACAATAAGTATGTTAATGACGTCCAAATTGATATAAACGAATTAAAGGTTAATTCATAAGGATATGAAAATAAATACCACTGACTAGAATACTTACTCTATGTCCTCGAGCTCTGTTTACAAACATTAATCCTTTCTTTAAGTTTTTCATACAGTATTATGTATAAAGCAATCTCATTACCTTTTAAAATTTGAAAAAATAGTAATACAGTATGCGCAGTTTTTTAATTTCAACGGTGTAAGTCGCAATGAAAATGTCCAAGTTCTAAACTAATCTAAAAACTGATCAAGTGACGTTGTTATTATTCTTGAGGGCTGAGGTGTTATCAGATTTTTCGATTATTTTATTGTATATTTGTAATGTTAACTCATAATATTAACTCTCGTGAAAGATAAGGTTTTTTTTAATTATAATACGACCAGATTCTTCAGCTTCAGCCGCTGATCACGGACATCAATATTAATAGCTCTTTGAATACTGAATATGTCATAGCCAATCATCGAATTCGGTAGCGGCGTCTCAAGTCGGATGGGTCTTGGTTGTTGACACGAAATAATTTATACGTCTCACATTTATTAAGCCATAAAGAAAAACTTATCCTTAACAAACAATAAATATGTGTTAACAATTCATTGTTGTTTGTTTACATTTAAGTGGTTATTCAAATTTAAATGTAGAAAAAAACAACTCCTGCTTACTGCTACACATTTAATTATTACATAAACATGATTTGTGTCCACATGGGGCATGCTGAAGGGGGTACAAAGTCACTATATAAATAACAGAATCCACATATTTAACTTGAAAGCCATAAGTGTACATACTGATTCTAAAATTGCTTAAATGGTATTGGAACATTTTCATTTATAGCATTTTTATTTATGTAATACATAACAACATAAACGTAATTTTCTAAAGAGTTTTTGGTTGTTTAATATATTAAATTTCCCTTACAACAAACAAGTTAAACATTTATATAACCAATGTCTATTATGTATTTTTATTTTAGTTGAATAGATCTGCTTTCATAAATTGTAAATATAGACATAAAACAAAGTACAATACATAGCATGCTAATTATTAAATTAATTAATCAAATATAACATTTTGACGCGGGTGTCACTTATTTATTAATATATGATTATTATTATTAAGATATGTTTAAACAGAATTAACGATTAAAAAGATAACAGCTTAACAAGAAATCTCTACAAATAATTTACTAAAAAACGAAACATAATTAGTAACATATTTAATTTTGTCATATTAGAAGTGTACTGTATATACTAAGGTAATATTATTATTATCACATTATTTATGTTTGCATTTTGTGTTTGTAAGCCTCTTGCTATGCTACTGTCGTTGCCAGGTCAGTCGTCCACAACAACTACTAAGAAAAAACTTTAAAACATTTAGATGCGCTAATGAGAATTTAGAGATTTCTCTAGTATCTCCTACGTTTACCAAAAGGTCTGTATCGCCTTCGACGATTCCTTGTTGCCACCGGTCGGGAGCATGATGGCTCTTCGTCTGAATCGCTCCGCGATGAAGAAGTTAGCGGTTTTGGTGGCAAATGCGACCGGACTCTCCCGAATGTTTTCGAGATCGCCGGCCTGTAAACCGCCTCGAAGAGGATTTTATTTCATTTACAAAACATAGACTTCCTTGTAAACTCAACGCTGCTTTGGTAAGCATATTGGATTTCCTGAAACAAAAAGAAAAAAAAACGATTTAAAAACATATTCACAAAAATGTTCCTTAATAATAATAAAATTTTATTATAATTTATTCTAATATTATTCAATCGTTAACATGTATGAATCAATATAATTATACTGGTTCTAGTGTTTATTTAAACCCAGAATAGGGCTGGATATCATCTGTTTACGCTATCTGCAATGGATAATTAGCATTGATGTTTTTGAACGTAACTGAGAGCGCATCGATGTAGTCCCGCCCCTTTCCCCTCCTATATCAATGACACTTTTAAAATTGAATTTGAATCGTGCGCATCAAAATTGTGCGATCGCGAAAAAGTGGTGAATATTGAGTGCAGCTAAGTAAGTACTTAAAAAACTGAAAGCTTTTCATCAAGAACAAAGAAAGAAGACAGGAGTGGCCACTCCATGAAGATAGTGCTACAAATATTATCACTACAAAGACACAGACTTTCGGTGAGTTCCTAAAAATATTACCTACTACCAAAATATCATATCGATTGCGCTCAAAAATATAAAATTAAAAGAACCAAGCCCAAACATATTTGGTCCTTCGAGCCGGATATTTAACAATAATTTAACCGTTGCACATAGATTGAGCGGCTACCCCCAACTTGAAAAAACTATTAATAGGTGAACATTTTATTTAAATTTCTTTGTTACTACTTAGTTAAAATGGCTACTACTTCTAAATCTCAATCACTTTTTGATCGTAATGTACGTAAGATGCGTAGTAAAATTAATGCATATT